TTCAGGAGACTTTTAGGCTACACATAAAAAAGTTGTAATAAGTAACATCTGTAAAATGGGTGGGCAAGAAAGCTGTTGTGGATCTAGTGCTAGCTTTGACCTAGTCATGTAGTAACTGGCAACTTTCCTTTCCTTTAAAATTTTGACAGATGGGGACAGAGAGGTAGAAGAGAGGTTAAGGCACTTGCCTTGTCCGTTGAGGACTTGGGTCCGATTTAAACATCCCTTCCTTTCCCCTTCACCATGATCCCCAGCTTATTTTCCCCTGAGCATCACCAGGAATGATCCTAGAGCACAGTGCTAGGAGCAAACCTTGAGCTCAGCCAGTTGTGGTACCCAACCCCCAAAAGTTCAAAAAGAAACAATAAGATTTTCACTGGATCCCTGAGACTCTGAGAGGACAAGGGCTGTGGGAGAATAAACTCATCAGTCCTGAAAGGACAGATGTGCCATTTCCACACTCTGAACAGTGGCACCAGAACCCTTTAAAAGAGAACAAAGTTTCATCAATGCCATTTTCCAATCATGAAAATTGAAGAACACGTAAAATAAGTTAGTGGTGTTTACTACTATTAGTTTATCGTGCTTATTAAAGGTGGATAATTTAACTTGGCTTATCTTTAATATGACATGTTTGTTTAGACAGTCAAAAATATTCTGATGAGGGGCTAAGAGAATACAGAGGTGAGGGTGAGAAGCCTTGCATTCCAACTACCCCAGTTCAAATCCCTGGCACTTTTTCTGGTCCCAGAGGACTACCAGGGGTCACTCCTGAGCACAGAGCCAGAAATAGCTCCTGTACACTGCTGAGTATGGCTCTAATCAAAAACACAAATTTGTTTGATAAAACTCTACTTTTCAGGAATCGAACATTTCACATTTACAGTAATTCATGCTTCTCCAATCTTTCAGGTACAATTTGATTTATAGGTCAACATTTTCTAATGTAATGTATATAAAATAATAATAGAAAATTTAAAAAAAAAGCTCAACATATCAAAAGTGTTGAGTGTGGCAAAAAGTGTAGAGTTAAAACTGGACATGAGAAGCTGATACTTGGAAGAATGTAAGAGATGATGATAAAAGATAAAAGGAGGTAAGAGAGAAAAGTCACCAGATATAAGATGCTGTGCGGCCTTTTCTCTTTTGGTCTTTCTGCAGGATCTTCATTCTTTTTTGTAGTCAATTTAATGTTCTTAAAAACACTTCCAATTAGAATCTACAGAAAATACGAAGTAAAATGGAAAATTATGGCCACGATTTAAAACAGGATACATCGAAAATTAAGAACCCTTTCTTGTGAAGCACTTTTGTATAGTGACTTGCACAGACAGCATTTCTGGGGTAAATGAGACACCACTGCCAGGATAATTCAGGGTTTGCTTCTTGAATCTGGAGGGCTTTTATGAAAACTGAAGAAGATCCTTTTGACATTGTGTTGGGATCACCCAATGAGTGAAATCAAGTGGAATCCCCCAAATGATTCTTTTGAAAAATCTCCAATTGGACAAAATAAGTCTCTATCTAGATTCACTTGCTCCATGATTTTCAGAGGTTGAAACATCTGAGCACCGATCAGAGGAACTTAGTCAAGCAGAAGGACTCTGAAGTCATGGATAAGTTTTCACGAGCCCCCATTGTAACACATTCAAATATTTGGCCTAGTAGCAAAGGACTGTTGGCGTACCGTGGACACTCTATTGGAGTTAAATCAGCCGCACACTACAGTACATGGTCGCCATGACAGAGTCAAATGGTAGAAATGGTGGTTTATAACTGACTGAAGTTCAGTTCAATAAAGTGTGGTTCCACGGTTCATGGAAGATAGCTGATATCTTTCCTAAGTTTGTGCTTATTTCCCAAGAAAATCAGATGAGCCCAGCTGATTGAAGATTTACAAGCATGTGAAAAAAAATAACAAGTTTGCAGACAGAAATAATGAGAGAGATTTTAATAGCATACTTCAGGTAGAACTTCCTTACTGCAGATAGGTTGTTCCATAGTGCATTCTATTTGCATTCTACTCTATTCAGCCAGTAAGATGAAGTGACCAATGTTGGCAGATTTAAAACAAAGAGGGCCTTGCAGATTTCTTTAATTATTTCAAACTGCAAGAAACACAAGTCAACTGTTTCTATCATGCCTGTCTTAAGTCACGGAGTGTTCTTTTGGGCACAGTTGTGAGAAATTTTAAAACATCATCATATAAATCGCAGAAGGCAATAAAAACCATAGGCTCAATAAACATGGGCACACCCATGCATAAAACTGTATAAGGCGGTCTCTTTCATTTTACAGGAAGATCAGTTTTTGCATAATTTCTAATGTCATTTTTTTAAAAAAAACTGATTTTACATAGTATTATTAGAAAATTCTGACATATGTGGTTTATGTCAGGATGTTATCTGATATTTTTAATGGAAAAGTGATAGCTCAGCGGTAGGGCGTTCGCCTTAAGCGTGCGCGCGGGCGAGTTTGATTCCTCCGCCCCTCTCGGAGAGCCCGGCAAGCTACTGAGAATATTCGATATGCCAGACACAGTAACAACAAAGTCTCCAATGGAGACGTTACTGGGCCCGCTCGAGCAAATCGACGATCAACGGGAGGGCCTTTACCTTTACCTTTACCAAATTTTTATTTATTTACTTATTTATTTATTTTGCTTTTTTGGGTCACACCTGGCGATGCACAGGGATTACTACTGGCTCTGCACTCAGGAATTACCCCTGGCGGTGCTCAGGGGACCATACAGGGTGCTGGGAATCAAAACCAGGGCGGCCACGTGAAAGGCAAACGCCCTACCCACTGTGCTATTGCTCCAGCCTTCAAATGCATTTTAAATAAGCAATAAACTGAGCAGAGGGAGGCCCTCTCCTTAAGTCAGTTTACAAAGTTCGGGAATATCGTCCCTGCATTTCCCACAAGATTCCAAATTTCTGGTCTAATTCAAGTGTCAGTAAAGCACATTACCTTTTCTGAAAGCTTCACTATGGAAGATTTTTTATTGATAGAGAGCCATAACACCTATATTGTTGCCTGCTCCCCCCTCCCGCCCATTTATCATTAAATAGTACTCTACACCCTAACAAAATGTCCTTTTCCTCATCTAACAGCAGACCCCCCATCTTAGTTTTTAAGTTCGGTTTGATCTAAGGAAAGAATGGCTTCACCGGGCAGTTTATTTCCAGCGTTTTAACTTCAACTTCCTATAAAGTGTCTGAGCGGCGGCAGCATTTCAGCTTCTTGGAGTTTGCACCCGACTCGAAAGCTGCAAAGAACCTCAGCAATTGCACTCCCGGAATTGATGCTCCAGACCCACAGACACCAGGAAGGGCGAACGCCAGCTTTAAGATTCGCCGGGTCCCCCGAGGCTCACCACCTACCACCATCAGCCTTTTAACAGGCAGCGGAGCCTGGGGTCCGCGCCCCCTTGGACACCCCGCGTTGCTTCCTGTCCACCGGGACGCCAAGCGGGCAAAGCCCCGCTGCAGGCGGACGTGGGTTAGAGAGAGATAAAGTGGACGCATCCACGGTCCTTTCAGCCTGGAAGCAGGGATGCCACGGGACGCGGCAAACCCAAATAAATGACTTTCCCCGGGACCCCCACCCCAAACCTCCCGTGCTCCAACGCTTTTCTGATTCGCGCGGCAGGTAGGTGCCTGATCCTTTAGAAAACTCTCTCCTGCACCTCCGAGTCTCAACTTCCCCCTCCTCCCCCCTCTGAAGCGTCTGAGCAGGTTGGCGAGGCCGGGGGGTGGGGGTGGGGGTGGGTGCTGATGGGGAGAAGGGAGGAGCGCTCGGAGCGCGCAGTCGGGGCGCCGGGCTCCGGCCAACGCGTCGGGGTGGCCACCCGGGAGAGGGGGGACAGGGGGCGTGGCCACGTGCCGGTCCCAGGGTTCCCCGCTCGGGCGCCACGCGAGGGCTCAGCCGAGAGCCAGCCGGGCCGGCAGCGGCGCGCGAGCGAGCGAGGGAGCGAGCACCCCCGTCCCGGGACGCGGAGAGCGCGGGGACCCCCCGGGAGCGGATCGGCGGCGGTGGCCCAGGCCGGGGGCGCGGCGAGGCGGAGGATGTGCGGCTGAGCCCCGGGGGCCGGGAGAGAGAGAGAAAGAGAGAGACCGAGAGAGGATCGCGGGGAGGAGGGAGAGGGGCGCTCGGCCGGGCGCGGGGCGGGGCGGGGCGCCGCTGGGGGGTGCCCGGGCGGCCGCGGGGAGCCGCGGGAGCGCACGGTTAAAGCGCGCGCCCTGGGCGGACGCACCGACTCTGCAGCCTCCACGCACCCCCCCATCCAAAATAATAATAACAATAAATAAATAAAACCAAAGTCACACCGGCGAGGAAGGCGACCACCCGCGCCCCTCGAGCCCCCGGAGCCGAGTCCCGCGCCGCCGCCGCCCGGAGCCGAGGTAACGCCGGGGCGCGCGGTTCCCACGGGCGCACGCGGGGGCGAGCTGCGAACACGAGGAGGGGGCGGCGGGGGGCGTCGTTGGGCCCCCGCCCCCGGGCGAGTGGTCGCCGCGGGAAGTTGAGGGGGAAAGCGAGGTGGTGGGGGCCGTCCCGGGGGTCGGTGCCCGCACCCCTGCGGACTCCCATATGGCCGGGCCGTCCGCGGGCGCGTTCCGGGCTGGACCTTGCCCTTGACCCCGGCGGCGGCAGCGGCGACCCGACAGCTACCGCACGGGGCGAGCGCGGGGGCGCAGGAGGGCCGCGGGGCGCTCCCTAAATCTCCCCTACTTCGCCCTCCTCGGGAGGAGGAACTCGAGTGGGGGTGCATGGGGGTGGGGAGGGTTTGAGGGCTGCCCCCCCCCCCCCCGTTGTACACACACGCGCGCGCGCGCTCGCCGGGGTCCTTGCAGCGCCCCCAGGAGGTCCCCGGCCCGCGCCCCCCTCCGGAAGGGACCGCGGGGGGTCCCGGCCTGCACCCCGGGAGAACGCGCCGCCTGGAGGACGGGACGCTCTGTCCGAGGCTGCAGGGGCGAGCGCGGGCCCCGGGACGCGCCCTCCGGGCTGCTCCGAGTGTCCGCGGCGGTGCGGCGGCGCGAAGGGCGAGTAGAGGTGGCGGGGCGGGCGCGGGCCCGGGACCAGGTTGGGAAAGCGGGACCGTCGGCGGCCGCCCTCCCGCACGGGAAAGTCTGGCCGCCCGGCCCGGGACCCCCAGGTTTTCACGCCCTTCAGCGTCCAGGCGCTGGCGGATGGAGAGGCGCGGCGGAGACGCGGGTGGAAGTGGGAGAACTTTGGGGATTCTGCAGAACTAAAGCCCAAGCCCCGGTTCCCTTCGCCAAGAGCTTCCCAGCGCGGGAGAGGGCGCACCGCAAGGAGAAGGGGGAGGCGGTGGTGACCCCAAGTCCTGCAGTACAGCCTTTTTTTTTTTTTTACTTCGGATGCTCCTAGCAGAAAACGGGAGACCACCACGATCCTAAGGCCGGAGCACCCCCCCTCCCCAGAATTCTCACTGTGTCAAATGGTTTTATTTTATTTTATTTTGTTTTGTTTTTATCCCAAGATGAATGGCACGAAAATGTGGCAGTGTGGCTCCATGCCAAGCATGTTTCTATTTCTGATAATTTTGTGTGTGTGTGTTTTTTTTAAAACAACTCTGCACCCGGATTTGGTGTTTTATTTCCATGCATCCCCAGGGGGAGCAGGGGGCGTCTCTACCATTTGCAGGAAGGCTAGAAAGAGTTTTTAATCAGTATTTTGATATTAGGAGGACTCACACGTTAGACACCACGAGGACTTTCAGATTAAGTGAAGTCACACACCGCAGTACTGTCTGGTAAGGGAACCCGGAGATTGTGTAATTGAATTACGTTGAAGTCAGCCCGCGCTTTTTCTGCCACATTGAGGCACAAGAGCAGACTTGGTTTTCACCTATATAAACTGGCTCCTGGTAGTTTTGAGTTTTGCTTCTTGGATTGACTCTTTGTTCTGTGTTCCATTCTGGAAAATTCCGTAGGGAAATTTTCTGAGTTGCTTGCCAGCCACAATGCACTACTGGCATCTAGTATTGTATGACCTGGTAAGGCAGAAGTGTTTTTGGAAAAGAAACTATGATCAAGTATAATGCCGTGATCTTTAGTAAAGCCTGACAGTGCTTTGACAAAACTGAGCAAAAAACTGTGCTTCTGACTTTTTGGGAGGTAAGACTCCAGTAGAGAGTTGAACTCTTTAAATGTAAAATTTGCATATCCCTTATGCTTGTTTTGTTCATGCCTGGTGCACATATTTGAAAATGTAAGTGGAATTGATAAGGGTAATAACAAAACATTTTTGGGGGGCCAAATCTCTGTGTGTGTGTGTAAAGGATTTGGTTGCTCAGATTTAATTAAACTTGCTTAAAACATTTCATGGTTATGCAAAACCATCAGCTTAATTGCTGTGTAAATATTACAGGCAGAGGAAGAAAGAGTAGCACGTTCAATTCCCAGACTTTTTTTTTTGATATTATGTACCTATTTATCAAATAATACTTAATTTGATGCCCTCTAAATCACATTGATTTCCAAGGTGCATGAGGAGAGTAAGAAATTTTGGGTGTTTATGCAGCATATGTGTATATATATATATGTATTTAAACTTGTAACGATGTATATATTATACATATGTACAGTATTTAAACATGTATATATGCTATATATACATATATGATCTATTTAACACTATCTGAGATGGTATTTATATGAGCTTGTTTTCTGAAGCTCATACCATTAATTACTGAGAAAATATGAGCCATTTAAAACAATTTCTGAGGCTCACATTTTTCCTTGTTTCCTTGAATGTAAATGAATATTTTTGTTGGACTGTCTTAACACGAATTCATCAAGAATTGAGTAGGCTGTCCCTTGAGATGAGATGTATAGAGCTGTTTTTGTTTACAGTAAATGATCTCAGCCTACCCAGTTGAAATATTAGAATGGAGACAGACGTACCATTTTTCTTCTTATGGTTTTCCTGGATCATCTGTGATCAGCTCTCAGTTTCTCTTGCTGTCAAGCTGTGCACAGACCTTACTGCTGTATTATATATTGCCCTTTATTTATTTTTTTTTCTGTGAGGTGATGTGCACTGTTACCTGAGTATAAAGCCTATGCAGGGTGACAGATGCCTGCTAGTCTCATGTTTTCTATGTGGGCGGACGGTGAGTGGAGTGGGTAAGGCTTCTAGACGGGGATACTAGTACAAATACAAAATATAAAAATACATTTTAAATAAAAGATTTTATATGATTTCTTTCGAAGACATCATATCTTATTTGCAGATGGATTTTAATTGCAGACAAATCATGGAAAATCGTTGCTGTTTTGAGATACCACTGCAGCAGGACATAGAAAAAGTTGACTTCTCTTATCGTCCACCTAGGTTGTTTTTGTTGAGAGTAGGATGCTGTGATATTCTACAGCTCACCTCCCGTCAGATTTCTGTAACCTTGGTAATCTTTACTTACTCTGCAAATCCAGAGTGTGATTTGGTAATCCTGACTATACTTGAAGCCAGTTCAATTGCTGCCCTTATTTCCTCTTCGTCATACCGGCCTTTTCCAGGGACTTTATTCAAATCAAGTTTGTTTGAATAAAGTCTTTTAAATCAGTCGTGAAAACAGTAGTTATCAGACCTTCCTAATTAAATATGCTTTCGTTCAACAAGTATTTATTTAAATGGTGCTATCTTATCATCTTTTGGACATTATTCTCTGGGCCTTGGATTTGCAGGTATATGAGACCTGAAGGGTTCCAGATTTAAAAGGTTCCAGATTCAAGGTGGTTTCATTAAGCACCATGTAGTTCCACAGTGCACTAAGCACTAAGATAGAGACATACACAGAATACTCAGGGTCAGCATTTGCAAGTGGCAGTTCTCTATGGAGGTGGGAGACCATGAAATCTTCACAGAAAAGGACACATAAAAATTGAGTTAGTTTTCCAAAAGTTTTGAGTCAATTAATAGTTTCACCATTGACTATTAGAGTCATCTCAGAAAAAAAAAACCAAGAAATGAGCTTCCATAGGACCCAGAAGTTCTGCTTCTTGGTATATACCCCGAGGACCCCCAGTTCAGCAAAGATATTTGCATTCCTGTGTTCATTGCAGCACTGGTCACAATAGCGAAAAATCTTAGTGTCCAATAACGGACAACTGGAGAAAGAAGCTCTGGTATATACACGCGATGGAATTCTACTCGACCCAAAGGAAAGACAAAAGTGTGCAATTTGCTGTGACAAGGATGGGTCTGGGGAGTCTCAAGCTGAGTGATGTTAGCCAGAAAGAGAGGGACAGATACGGAATGATCTTCCCCATATGGGAGATATAAAGAGACACAGCAAGGGAACAACAGATGCCCAAAGACAACAGAACCTGAAAACTGGTTTAGAGAACTGAGTCTTTTACAGGTGGAGGTTGGGGTGTGCAGGGGGCAGAGGAAGATGGGACAGCAGTGTGGTGGTGGAGGATCTGGTGTTGGAATGTTGTAGCCACAAAACCTTACCAGGAACAATAATTGTAAATCATCACACACACACACACACACACACACACAGACTCATGTTATATATATATATATATATATATACACACACACGTGTGTATATATAACACATATCATATCATATATACATACACATATGTGTGTGTATGTATATATGATATGATATGTGTAGACAGGGATAAGATCCTCAGGAGTATGGATTATTTTCTGTTGGAGGTTGTTTTCAGGGCAGGTATGAAAGGATGGAAAGACAGTCTAGATGAGCATGGTAAAGGTAAAGGTAAAGGCCCTCCCGTTGATCGTCGATTTGCTCGAGCGGGCCCAGTAACGTCTCCATTGGAGACTTTGTTGTTACTGTGTCTGGCATATCGAATACTCTCGGTAGCTTGCCGGGCTCTCCGAGAGGGGCGGAGGAATCGAACTCGGGTCGGCCATGTTGGCCGCTTGTAAGGCGAACGCCCTACCCGCTGTGCTATCGCTCCAGCCCTACGTATCAGATATTAAACTGATAAGAACAGATACTACACTTGATCTTAGCCAAAAGGCCGATGAGCATGTCAAGTGGGAATCGCCCTTAGGAAGATGTGGGGGTTCTTGATGTGATGTGGGGGTGAGGTCCTCTCATTGAAGTGGTGAGAGGGACTCGATCACACAGAAGCTAGGGGGTTGGATTTTCCAAGATTTGGAAAGTGATGCAGAGCTGTGTAGGTTGGTTGAGGTGTGTTTGAAGAGCAAATTGACACAGCCAAGTTGTGGACGTGTAGACTATGAAAGGCTAATGGAAGTGGAAGTGAATGGCCACGGAAGTACTGCACAGAAGCTCTGAGTACAGGGGTTGGCATGTGATGGGTAGGTTGATAAATGGGTAATGGGTGGCCGCCTGGGTGCATACCTGCTTGGATGACGTGATCAAGCATTTCTCACCCCTGAGGTGTTTCTAAACAAAGGAAGTTGCAGGGTCAGCTGGGGAGGGGTCAAAGAATAAGAGGGAAATGAAACAGAAATAGGGGATAGAAATAGAAATATGGAACAGAAATAGGGGAGAGAGAGAGAGAGAGAGAGAGAGAGAGAGAGAGAGAGAGAGAGAGAGAGAGAGAGAGAGAGAGAACAGTGAGAACAGAGTGAGACATGCTTAGGGGAGACCAACTTTCCTTCTAGTAGCTGAAGGAAGAAAGAATGTGGAGAAGCACAAGAGAATGGTCACATCCTACCGTAAGGGCCCCCTTCACAGTCCTGGTTCTGCCCTGAGTGCCTCTGAGAGTGGACCAGAACCAACTTCACTTGGCACATCTGCAAAATGAGGGCCAGACCCAGCTGCTCAGAGGGCGGCTGTGAAGGCTAGCCAAGATCGAGTCTGCTAGCTCAGTGCCTGGAAGGGCTGCCAGGTTGTTCGGGCACTGCCAGCTGCTTTATGAAAAGTAGGACTTGATTTGGGGGAGGTCGAGAGATCCGTGCTTTCAGGAATACCTGCTCCACATCAGGACACCTGTTGCATGGTGTTCTGATTGTTATTCACCATTGGACATTGGTGGGTGTGGAACATTGAGAATTCTCTACGGTGTGCCGTAAGTGTTTTTGGAATCAAGTGAAATTATATGTTGAGCATTTCATTTTATTTTGGGGGTCAGGAGTGGGTTGTGTGGTTTGGGCCACACTCCACAGCTGCTCACAGCTCTG